AAACAAAAATGAAGTCTCAAAATGCACTCCAAACATTTCATGATAGAAGAGTCTATGAAATAATAATTCCAATTAATTTTTCATAATACATGAAAAGTGGACTGTAGAAATTATGGAAAGAAGTTATCTATATTAATCTCATTTACAGACCTTGTGGTTCTCAGCCCAGTGCTTACTACACTGCAGTAAGAAAAGGAAATATACCAACAGAAGAGCGGGCAACAGATGCCAGTCATCAGTGCAAAGAAGAAGAAATCCTAGTATCCAATGAAAAGATATTCAATTTTACCTGCGATTGGCAAAATACAAATTAATATATCTCCCAATGGAATGTTACATAGTGGTAAAATAAACTTTTATTAATGCTTCTGAATCCTTGGAAACCCAATGCAAGGTTGCAATGAATACGAACCGACTTGATGGTTAACAACAACATTTTATTATATATCTTACATGAGTTGATTGCAAAGATACAGCTATTTGGCAAATCTATGGTTGTTGTTGTTAAGTGCCATTGAGTTGGTGGTTCCTGTATAGCATTTTTGAGGAGCGGCTGGTGAGCTTGACCTGCTGACCTTGAAGTTCAAATTGGTCTTACTGTGCAGCACATTAACCCACAGTGCCACACCAGGACTCCAATCTACGGTTAGAGCTTGAAATAATAAACTTTAAAGTTTCTATTGCTAGTTTAAGTCTAGGTTTTTAAACAAAATATAATAATAATGTGGCCACAAAGACAAAACCGCCATCTCTAAAGAACACCAAAAGAAACAGCTTTATGTTGGCTTAAAAAATTCAGCTAAGTAGTTTTTAAGGAAATATTTCCAAAATACAGAACACAGAGTAACATAATAAATACCCATGAATTCCTCCCCTCCCTCCATCAAAGCCTCTCTTTGGCCTATATACACATTACTAAAAAAACAACTTGTAAAAGCATGACACCATTTATACCATGCTTCAAATAAATGAGAGCACATTGTTGTTGTTGTTGTGTGCTGTGGAGTTGGTTTTGACTCATAGCAACCCAGTACGAGGTTTCCGAGGCTGTACATCTTTACAGGAGCAGAAAGCCTCATCTTTTTCCTGCGGAACAGCTGGTAGTTTCGAACTGCTGACCCTGAGGCTCGCAGCCCGATTCGTAACCACTACACTACCAGAGCTCCTTTATTTTCAATAGACACTTGAATATATAGTAATGTGGGAACTACACAAAGAAACAAAGCATGTGTTGGATAGTGGTTACAGCAGGGGTGTGTTACTGTTGTTGGTAAATGCTGTCGAGCAGGTCACAACTCACAGAGACCCTGTATAGCATTTCTGAGGAGCCACTGGTAGGTTTGAACCGCCAACCCTGTGGTTCAAACTGACCTTGTGGTGCAGTGCATGACCTTGCAGCCCCACACCAGGTGTGGAAGGCATGTGATAGGGTTTGCCCCAGCCGGTTTGCTGCACGTCTTGTCCTAGTTCCATGTGCATGTTAGTAGTTAGTGATACGCCGTGACATGAGTGCTTTCGTCACAGCCATTGGCAAACCCTGTGAATCCTGGATTTCTCTTCCTCCATAGCAACTCTGTATGGGATTTCTGAAGAACCACTGACCTTGTGGTTAGTAGTCCCGTGCTTGTCTGACAGTTCCTATTACACCAGGAACAGGATTGGGAAGGGATATAGACGTGGATTTAAAAAGCAAATTTAGCACTAAAAAAGGTATTGAGAGAGTTGAAGAGGAGAAGTTCATTGGTGTTTATCATATTACTCTGAATTCTGTATTTTGGAACTATTTCATAAAAAAAGCCCAAAAAACAAAACAACCCAGTCAGCTGAATTTTACAGGCCAGCATAAAACCATTTACCTTAGTGCTCTTTAGAGAGTTAATTCTTGCCTTTTGGCCACATTAGTATTACATTACTGTTGAAAAGATCATAACTGGAACATATTTGAACTAGCAATAAACCCAAAAATCCAACTCCACTACCATCGAGTCAGTCCTGACTCGCAGCGACCCTATGGAGGGTTTCTGAGACAGTCAATCTTTTCCAGGGGCAGATACTCTTATCTTTCTCCCTAAGAGCAGCTGGTAGGTTTGAACTGCCGACCCTGTGGTCTCCTTTTGTATGTTGTTGTCAGGTGCCATCGAGTCGGAACCGACTCATAGCGACTCCATGCACAGCAGAACGAAACAATGTTCGATCCTGGGCCAACCTCACCACCGCTGCCACCCCCGAGTCCATCAATGATGCCACCTGGCCGATCCATCTCGTTGGAGGTCTTCCTCTTTTTCTCTGACCCTCCACCCTACCCAGCATGACATCCTTCTCCAACGATTGTTTCCTCCGGACTACATGTCCAAAGTAGGAGAGACGAAGCTTAGCCATCCTGGCCTCCAAGGAGCACTCTGGCTGCACTTCTTCCAAAACAGATCTATTGGTTCTTTTGGCAGTCCATGGCACCCTCAGTATTCTCCTCCAACACCACAACTCAAAGGCATCAATTCTTCTACGATCCTCTTTATTCACTGTCCAGCTTTCGCATCCATATGAGGCTATTGAAAACACAATGGCCTGGGTCAGGCGCACCTTAGTCCTCAAGCTGACATCTCTGCTCTTCAATACTTTAAAAAGTTCCTGTGCAGCAGATTTGCCCAGTGCAATACGTCGTCTGATCTCTTGACTGCTACTTCTGCGAGTGTTGATAGTTGATCCAAGAAGAATGAAGTCCTTGACAACTTCAATCCTTTCTCCATTGATAAGAATGTTGTTTATTGGTCCAGTGGTGAGGATTTTTGTTTTCTTGACATTGAGATGCAATCCATATCGAAGGCTGTGCTCTTTAATCTTCAAAAAATCTCCTTTTGTATAGAAACTTTAAAATGTATTCTTTTAAATCCCTGGATTCCTGGTGTGGCACTGGGGGTTAATGCGCTGGACTGTAAAGAAAGTTGGTTTGAACTGTAAGATTGGTGGTTCAAGTTCACTAGCCACTCCTTGGAAACCCTAGACAGGGTTGCTATGAGTTGGAACTGACTCCACGGCACATAACCATGATAACAACAACCATAGATTTGTCGGAGTCCTGGTGTGGTGCTGTGAATGGATGCGCTGGATTACAAAGTCAGTTTGAATCACAAGCTTGGCAGTTCAAGCTTACCAGATGCTCCTACAAAGCTCTACAGGGTTACTATGAGTCAGATCCCACTTGAAGACATTTAACAACAACATAGATTTGTGAGATAAGTGTATCTCTGAAATCAACTGATGTATATTAATAAAAGATTCTTAAGAAGCATTAGAAAGATGAGGCTTTCTGCTTCCGTAAAGATTTACAGCCTCGGGAACCCTGTTCAGGGTCGCTATGGGTCAGAACCGACTTGGTGGCACTTAACAACAACAACACAAAGAAGCATTAATATAAAAAAGTACACATGAATACTCTTACTTAGCAATAAAAATAACAAAGGACTAAGAACAGTATTTCCACTTTGAGGGCGAATAAGTGAATAAGTGAATGTGAGAAACATCTGGCCTCCAAATTAGACTCCAGATTTAAGAGAAAGGAAATAAAAATGAATGGGGAACTGAGAGGGAAGGTGTCGTCACATCAAGTATCAATCGTATCCCCTCTGTATATAGGGTAAATAGGGATGGGACGGGAAACTTAGACATTGGCTACCTAAAATGTTGTTGTTGTTAAGTGCCATCGAGTCAATTCTGACACATAGTGACCCTGTGTAGGGTTTCCGAGGAGTAGCTGGTGAGCTTAAACCACCAACCTTGCAGTTCAAATGACTTTGCAGTCTGTCGCATTAGCCCACAGTGCCACACCAGGATTACTACCTAAAATGAGGTGGGTGATAAAGGCACAAAGTGACTACCTAACAAGTTTTCAAGAGGGAGTCTTAGAAGAAGTACAGCCAGAATGCTCCTTAGATATAAGGATGGCAAGACTTCATGTCTTATACTTCGGATACGTTATCAGGAGGGACGAGTCGCTGGATAAGGATATCATGTGATAAAGAGGAAGACCCCCCAACGAGATGACTTGGCACAGTGGCAGCAGAAATGAACTCAAGTATCACAACAATAGTCAGGATGGCCCAGAACCCGACAGTATTTCATTCTGTTGTGACCAGGGATGCTAGGAGTTGGAACTGACTAGACAGCATTTTAACACAACAAAGGCGTTATAGTTAAAGGGTGGGCTCACTCAGTTCAGCACACAGGTCTTCCATTCATTAGGCTTCTGCTAGGTGTTAGAGACCCAGAGAAAACATAGACCCTGCCCCCAAGGAGCCCCCAGATACTGATGTTAGTGACTCAGGAGCGTTATGACTTAGCTTTCATTCGAGCTGAGTCACAATACAACAAGGCCTATGGAATTTTATAACGGAGTACTCAACCAGCCTAATCAAACTGTTGGAAGCTCAAGTCCACCCCGACGTGCTTGGATAGAAAGAAAGTTTAGCAATCTACCTAAGAAGTCTCAGGGAGGGGAACACAGCTGAAGTCGGTGCTTCGGGGTCACTGTGAAGGTGACAGCTGTCATCGCTGCTTCACATTGTGGTTCCTAAGGTGGGATAGCCCTGAGTTACCTCACTGCAGGTATTGTTAGTGCTGTACCAGCTCATGGACGCTTCCCAACACCCACACGTCTATGGGTGACGGAACACGGACAGCTGCAGACCCCTGACGCTGGAGAGTGTTCTTGGGGGGTGGAGGACAATGCAGGAGGAAAACCAACAAACATAATGCTGTGGAGCTGCAGGATAAGCACTGGACTACGAGCTTAGTGAGGTCAGGAGTTCACACTCACCAGTTGCTCCCAGGGAGAAAGTTACTATGAGTTGGAATTGACTCAATGGCAGTGAGCTGTTTTTTTATATATAGCGTATTACTATATCCTATAGTGCCACACCAGGATCAGTTAATTTAGGCTTCGTTAATCTGGGAGAAATCCACACTGCTTCTATGTGAGAACGACCTCTGGGGCACGGACTCACCTGTTGAAGTGGTAGATGTCCTGGATGTTTCCAAAAAGGGCGGCTCGTTCCTCGGTGTCCAGAGGCAGTTTTGCCTGGTCCCTGATACAGTCAAGGTAATCCTGGGAAATTAAGGAGAGGGATGCTTTAAATCCTCTGTCCTTTTCCAGTGACCATCAGTTATTCAGGATGAGTCTTCGGTATCAGTTTCAAGTCATCTTTATAGTGATGTGCGTGTTAACTATACTACAAGGAAACAGCCACTTTTAATTACTGATTACAATACGTACCTATATACAGAACAGGGCTTTAATATAAGGACAGACACATTAATGTATCTAGCCCCAAGATGGACTTCTGTGTCCCTAGATGCAGAATATAATGGCCTATTATCTGTTTCCTTAACTTCATTCTGTGACAAACATATACTTCAAAGTTCAAACGGTGGGAAAAAAAAGGGAATACAATTTCTGAAATGTGAGAAAGTTGTTTTAAGTAAAACCATTATGCCATAAAGCTATCAGAAGCGAAAGAATAGAACTACATTAGTCCTCATACATATAATTCACATGTACTCTATGACAGGTTATGCTAAGGATCCTGGGGAGTTCTAACTGAAATGATTTTCTATGTTTTGTTTAACACAGAACCCACAGACCTGAGGAGCACTGATATGTGCTGTGGGATCATTGCTGGACTGCGAACCACAAAGTCGGCAGTTCAAACCCACCAGCTGCTCCTCGGAAACCCTAAACAGGATCGGTATGAGTCAGAACTAACTCGAGACACTTAACAACAACATCTAATAGGCTATGCTAATAAGTCATGGGGAATTTGAATTGAAATGATTTTCTATGTTTTGTTCAACACAAAACCCACCGATCTGAGGTGGGTCCTAGTCCACTGTGGGTTAAATGTCTGTGGTTTTTGCTCTTTGCTCTGCTCAGAGAGGGGAAATTGCTTTTCCTGCTCTGAGCCGCCACCCCTACCACCCCTCCCCCTGCTCCAGCTCAAGAGTTCACAATCAGTGTTCCCCTGCTCCCAGCAAAGCTTGACAAAAGGACTCGGTAGGAGGCAAGAAAACAATAAAGAAAAAAGCAAAAACAGCTGAAATAATGTAAAATAAAAAAATAAATACAATCCCCTGCCCTGGGCTGAACAATGCCGATGGCTCCCAACCAAGGCTAACAGGAGGAGATTCTGATACTGAGAGGAAGTTACTCTGAGGAAAGTCAGCCAGACCAGGAAAATCCCAGCATCAGAACCACATTCCAGTCCAACAGCAAACACAGCAGTACTCGGAGGCGAAGAGTACTGACCATGCCGTGGACTGCCAGAAAGATGAGCAAACCAATCTGAGAAGTACAACTAGAGGGTTGAGGATGGCAGGACTTGCGTCTTGCTCATTTCAGACATGTCAGGAGGGAAGGACGTCATGTTTGCTAAGGGCAGCCCTCTGTGAGATGAACTGACAGCACAGTCACAGCATGGACTCAGACACACCAACAAGCAGAAGAGGGGACAGGATCAGACCACCGTTCACTCTGCTGGACGCAAGGTCGCCATGACGTGGACACCGCCAACTCTACAGTAATTGACAAGGACCAAGCGCCAGGAGAAGCTGACATGTAAGAACCATCAGCTACTGCTTCTCAGACCTTTACCCATCTGCAGGCTCTCTGGTTTTCATCTTGTCTACAAGGGTCTGGTGAAAAGAGATGGGGATAAGATTTTTATAATTCAATAGTGAGTAATCGTTATCATGACTAATTGCGATGCTTACAACTGTAAAGTTAGAAGTCTTGTAACATAAAGGGGGAGAAGTTAATCTTACAGTCCAGGAACAGGGGGCCTTACAACCATTAAGGAGAAGAGCATGAGTGGAAAATGGGACTCTATCCAGAGAAGCAGCAACACCAGAGATGGTGGCAGAGATGAGGACATGGAGAGAAGGAGCAGCTGAGGACTCTGGACTCATGGAAAGAGAAAGGCTGTGTGCTGGCAGCCAGGAGGCAGGCTTGTAGAATGTGCCTCCCTTTGGTTGTTTAAATGATTATATATTCCTGAGTGTTTTTGTGTACATCCAAAAAAAAAAGAAAAAAGAAAAAAACAGAGGGAATAGAAGCCAATACTGTGGAATGATGATGCACGGAGAGGATTGTAATCATTGCACTGAAATGATGAGTGTAAAATCTATGTTCTCCCATGTAAACTATCACTCAGTTCATAATAAAAACTTTTTTTAAAAAAGAAAAAGGAATAAACAACACTAACAAGCATAAGAAAATGTACACAGTATTTGAAAACTTCTAAGTTTGGCACATATTTTGAATTTTCCATTAGTCATAAACTTGGTTTTTGAAATTTGCATTTTTCTAAATAAAAATGTACCTGAAAACAAAAAACAAATAAGGTAGAGCATCACTGGTAACTTTACCAAATAGCACATTTCACAGTCTGCATCAGTAACTTCTTTAGCCTTAAATACTGACACCGCTGTCACGCATGAGCCAGTGTTCACAGACTTTCCTTCATTCGTAGGAGCTTTGAAGTAATATCTTCTTAAGAATGCGGCTGTCTCAGTAAGAAACTAGATTCACAAGGTTAAGCAGTTGTTGTTATGTGCCGTGGAGTTGGTTCTGACTCATAGCGACCCTGTACAGGGTTTCTGAGGCTGTAAATCTTGTTGTTGTTAAGTGTTATCAAGTCAGTTCCAACCCATAGCGTCCCTGAACAGGGTTTTCAAGGCTGTAGATCTTTACGGGAGCAGAAAGCCTCATCTTTCTCCCGTGGAACAGCTGGTAGTTTCGAACTGCTGACCCTGAGGATAGCAGCCTGATTCGTAACCACTACGCTACCAGAGCTCCTAGGTTTAAGCAGAGCTGATGTAAAAAAAACCCACAAGAGCAAGATCTACTACTTTTTTGAGTGGAACAGTTTATAAAGAGCTCAAGAGTCTCCACAGGTTACGGAGTTAATGCTTAAATAATAGGAAGGGGCTTCCAAAAGCTCATGCAAAAGGGGAATGAAAAGACAATTTCCCATGAATTTTTTTAGCCTCCTCAGAAAAGCTTAACTTTAATGAAGGCAAAAATTGAGCATTTTGAGCAACATGTAAAAGCTATACTTACTCAAAAAATTAATGTATTCACTGATATTCTCCTTAAATTTTGCAAGGCTACAAAAGGATGGGTCAATATTCAACTTGCATATGAATTTTTCTTTTTTTTTAAGTATTTATTGTGAATTGAGTGATAGTTGAGATAGTTGAGAACATTAGTTTTACACTCATCCTATGGTATTTTGTTTCATTGCAATGATTACAATCCTCTCCATGCGTCATCATTCAACAGTATTTGCTTCTATTCCCTCTGTTTTTTTCTTTTTCTTTTTGGATGTACACAAAAACACTCAGGAATATATAATCACTTCAACCTCCTGGCCACCAGCACACAGCCTTTCTTTTTCCATGAAGTCTAGAGTCCTCAGCTGCTCTCTCTGTCCATGTCCTCACCTATCTCCATCTCTGGTGTTGCTGCTTCTCTGCATAGGGGCATTTGGATACTTTTAATATTTTAAATAGTTTAATATGAGTCCCTGGATGGTGTAAATGGTTAATGTGCTTGGCCACTAACTGAAAGGTATGAGGTTCAAGTCCAACTAGAGATGCCTAAGAAAGTCCTGATAATCTACTTCCTATAAAATCAGTCACTGAAAACCCTGTGGAGCACAGTTCTACTGACATGCACACATAAGTCACCAAAAGTCAGAGAATCGACCCGACAGCCGTTGGATGCTTCAGTGATGCACACAAAACTTGGATGATTAAAAAGAAAAAAAAAGTAAGAAGGAGTAAGAATGAGGGCATTCCCAATACTGACCATACAGACAAACCAGCCCGAGATGAAGAAAACCCCCCAGAATACCCCCGAGAAGCAGGGATGGTAAAACTTGGTGGTGAGGGTCAGTGGAAACAAGGGGGCAGTGACACAACAGGCGCCACAAAGGACTCAGGTACACCATGGATGATGAAGAGGGTGCAGGGCTGGGCAACGTTTCATTCTGTTATGCTTGGGCCAGCACAAGTCAGAGTCATTTTGATGGCAACTAACAACAACAACAACAACGCTTTCATCAACACTTTTCAAAGACACATCATACACAAAAGTAAGGTAAAGCAGAAGAATACAGCTGGGTGAGAAGTGTAAAAGCTAAGTGGAAGACTACAGAGGAGCGTGATCCACATCAAGGTAGAGGATCAGAGGTGGGACACGGAGGACGTGTGCGAGCCTCACTCACAGCGCTGAAGCCAGAGATTGTAGCAAAAGAAGAACAAATCTTTTTCTTACGTCAAGTGGGAACCTAGCTCATTTGCAGAAAACTGAAAATAAATTCTTCCTGTAAGGGAAAGGCTGAGTTACGGGACTCGAAAATTTTCATCTGGAAGTACAGACAATGAACTGTGGCCTACTTCCAGCGAACAGCAGGATGATTTTCTGAAATTGAAAGAGTCTGAAAACCCCAGAGCCCGTGTTGTTGTTGTTATGTGCTGTGGAGTCGGTTCCGACTCATAGCGACCCTGTACAGGGTTTCCCAGGCTGTAAATCTTTACGGGAGCAGAAAGCGTCATTCTTTCTCCCGCTGAACTACTGGTAGTTTTGAACTGCTGACAGTGAGATTAGCAGCCCGATTTGTAACCACTATGTTACCAGAGTCTCAAAACCCCAGAGCCCATGGTAGAGAAATTGTATTTTTAAAAAGCTGCTGATTTTCTGAAATTGTTGAGAAACCAGATCGCTGGGCATTCGCATTTAGAAAGTCACTCTAGAAAACAGATCAAAGTTGTATGGTCACCACTTGTCCCCCCACGGATGATAATGAAGTCCTTTAATTATGCTACTTTAACCCTACAGCCGGGTCTGCTAACTACTGTAGCATGCACCGCATCAGTGGCTGCAATCACCCAAAGCCAAAATGAGAGGTCTGAAGGCCAGTGATAATAACAGCTCACTCTGACATAGATATGACTCCAGTGACATTTCTCAGGGCCTGCCCCGCTGGCTCAGTAACGTTACTGGCTTGATGTTGTAGCCGATGGCTGCCCTACTTTTAACAGTCAAGG